GGGAACTCGAATGGGCTGGTGGAAGTTATACCAGCAAAAGCACTAGGACATTCACACTAGGAGAGTTCGCTGCTATAGCTCTATTGGCAAAGCTTTTTCTAGTGTAGACCTGGCTATAGAGTGTTGGCAGTACATTGTCTCTCTCTCTCTCATGTAAACAAGTGTAAGCATACACACATGTGCACGTGCATACTCACACACACACACACACAGCCAGTCTCCTCCATTTACTGCCATTGGGAAAACTTCTCAAATTTTCTAAGTGATTTAGGAGCTTAAGTCTCATTTTCAAAAGTGACCTAAGCCCTTATGAGTCTAATAGCATCATGTTTAAGGGTATTTAGAAACTTAGGGTACGTCTTCACTACCCGCCGTATCAGCGGGTAGCAATCAATTAATCTGGGACCAATATATCGCGTCTCGTTAAGACGCGATATATCGATCCCCGAACGCGCTCAGCGTCGACTCCAGAACTCCAGAGCGAGTGGCGGTAGCGCAGTCGATGGGGGAGCTGCAGCTGTCGATCCCACGCCATGTGGACCCGAGGTAATTGGATCGATTCCCACCACTCCCAGTGTAGACTAGCCCTTAATGGTGTTTTCTAAACAACCTAGGTGCTTAACACCCATTGAAATCAAAGGGTGTTAGGTGTCTAGATACCTCTAAAAATCTGCCCTAAAAAACTTTTGAAAATGGGACTTTGGCTTCTAAGTCACTTAGCTGATTTTGAAAATTTTACCTCTCACCTTTTACACAATTTCCCCTCTAGGAAACTCACTGGGGTTCCTTGGAGGAATACAGCTTCCTCTCGAGGGTGTCTCTCAGGGTCTCTTTGACCTTCTAGTTCCTCAGGTTGTAGATGAAAGGGTTCAGCAAGGGTGTCACCACTGCGTTCAGGTGCTGGCCACATTGTTGAGGTCCAAGGAGCGGCTGATCCTGGGTTGAACATAGATGAAGATGGAGCTCCCGTAAAAGAGCATCACCACAATAATGTGATTATCATTGATGGAAAAAAAATTCCTCAATGTGTGTGCATATAGTGAAATCAGCGTTTACTGTCAAAACTCTAATCATAGAATCATAGAAATGGAAGGGACCTCGAGAGGTTACCTAGTCCAGTTCCCTGTACTCAAGGCAGGACTAAGTATTATCTGGACCATCCCTGACAAGTGTTTGCCAACCTACTCTTAAAAATCTCCAATGATGGAGATTCCACAACCTCCCTAAGCAACTTATTCCAGTGCTTAGCCACTTTGACAATAGGAAGTTTTTCCTAATGTCCAACCTAAACCTCCCTTGCTTCAGTTTAAGCCCATTGCTTCTTGTCCTATCCTCAGAGGTTAAGAAGAACAATTTTTCTCCCTCCTCCTTATAACAACCTTTTATGTACTTGAAAACTGTTATCAGGTCCCCACTCGGTCTTCTCTTCTCCAGACTAAACAAATCCATTTTTTTTGCAATCTTCCCACATAGGTCATGTTTTCTAGATCTTTCATCATTTTTGTTGCTCTTCTCTGGACTTTCTCCAATTTGTCTACATCTTTTCTGAAATTTGGCACCCAGAACTGGACACGGTATTCCAATTGAGGCCTAATCAGTTTGGAGTAGAGTGGAAGAATTACTTCTCGTGTCTTGCTTACTACACTCCTGCTAATACATCCCAGATTCAGGTTTGCTTGTTTTGCAACAGCATTACACTGTTGACTCATATTTAGGTTGTGATACACTATAACCCCAAAATCCCTTTCCGCAGTACTCCTTCTAGGCAGTCCTTTCCCATTTTCTATGTGTGCAACTGATTGTTCCTTCCTAAGTGGAGTACTTTGCATTTGTCCTTATTGAATTTTATACTATTTACTTCAAACCATTTCTCCAGTTTGTCAAGATCATTTTGAATTATACTCCTATCCTTCAAAGCACTTGCAACCTCTCCTAGCTTGGTATCCTCTGCAAAGTTTATAAATGTACTTTCTCTGCCATTATCTATATTATTGATGAAGATATTGAACAGAACCGGACACAGAAATGATCCCTGTGGGACCCCACTCATTATACCCTTCCAGCATGACTGTGAACCACTCATAATCACTCAGTGGCAGTGAACGTCTCAACTTGAGTGCATGGATGGAAATCTTTATGTGGTCAGTTTTCCAGTGCTGGTGCTTATATGTAAATACCAGAATCTGTCGGCACCAAACTACAGCAAATTGGTTCCAGTGGTTCTGAGCACCGAGTCCTCCCTGATCAGTCAGTCAGAGTCACCCTCTTCACTGGATGAGCCACTACAAAGGGACAATGTTCCTCAATGTGTTCATGGGGGTTACAGGTGCTACACATCTCTGATAGCCAGTCCAAGAATTCCAATCCATTAAATCAGTGGTTCTCAAGCTTTTCCATTCCAATTCCCCTCCCTTCTACCAAGGATCTAAAAGGGACCTCCCTCCCATTCAGCAATGTCGGTAGGTAGGTTTAATCGTCGTGACTTCCTAGCAGCCCCTTGTTGAGAACTCCTGGACTCTGAGAATCTCTGGCTATATGTACCCCTGCAACCCACATCCTTCCCATCCCAGAATCTCTAGGTCCCATGAGGACTCCATGGACTTTTGGAAGACTGCACCATCCGGGCTGCATGTAGATGAATGCAGACTGTGACTAGCAAGGGCCCCTTTTGGTGAGCAGAGCACTCCTCTTCTTTCACAAGCACCCAATGGTTGCAGCTCCCCACTGGTGGAGTTCCTAGGGTCAGTTGAAGCAGGGTTTCCTGTAGCAGAACTGAAAACACAGTGTTGAATTTAGAAAACTAAAGAAATTTTGAAATCCAATGTCTTTGTGAAGGTGGAGTTAACACTGATTTAATATCAGTAAATTTCTGTTTTTTTTTTCTTTGTAGATTTTAAGAACACAAAATGTAAGAGCAGAACGTCATCACCCCAGTGATGGAATTTGTCCTCTTGGAGCTCACCCAGAATCCTGAGTTGCAGCGCTTCCTCTTTGTGGTTTTCCTCATAGTTGGCTGGGAAACTTCATCATCATCACCACCCTGATCACCAACCACAGGTTCCATACCCCCATGTACATTTTGAACTTGGCTTTCCTGGATGTCAGTGAATCATCAGAAAATGCTCCAAATATGGAGGTCGACTTTCCCAGTGTAAAAGCATCTTGTTCAGTGAGTGCATCCTCCAGATGTTCTTCTACCACTTAATTTGTTTTGTGGGAATGGTGATCGCTCGGAATGTGGCCATCTATAAACCACTGCGGTACTTGAGTATCATGAACCAGGATGTGTGAATGGGGCTAGTTTCGCTGGCAAAGCTGGGTGGATTGGCTCACTCTGCTGTTCAGCTTGGACTGCTCCTCCAGCTACCGTTCTGTCATCCAAATGTCCTGGACAATTTCTACTGTGATGTCCCACAGGTCATCAAACTGGCCTGCACTGACACCCACATGGTAGAACTGCAGATGGTCTTCAATGGTGGAGTGCTGCTCATAATAGTATTAATTGTTCTGCTTATTTCCTACACCATCATCTTAGTGAAGATCAGGACACACATCACAGAAGGGAAATGCAAGGTTCTGTCCAAATGAAGAGCCCAGATTTCCATGGTATATTTACACTTCATACCCAGCATCTTCATCTACGCTGAGTGATTTTTAAGTGTCTAAAAGCCAAAGTCCATTGTGAATTTAGCCCTAAGAGCCGTATCTCTTTAAAATCAGCTTCCGTCACACAGATCGACGTGTAGCAAAACATAATGTGTCTCTTTGTTCCCTTCTATTAGCTGTACCTCAGATAGCCATTTTTGGGGCTGCTCCAGGCCTTTAAGCTAAGGCCTCTTTTCCATTAG